CACAACCTACTGCTGTACTCATTTTTGAGGATTATCGTCCACTTGATCACCTTTGATTTCAGACAACTTGAGCATCAAAAGATCCTGTTTTATTTAAATTATCTTTCGCAATATCAATACCAAAAAAACAAAAATGTTAGCGAGTGTACGCATGGATGATGTAATATATCGATTGAGAATATATATCGATGAGATTTATGAAAAAGTGTCGATAGTTTTCTCTTGATAATTTCCGCTACTTATTTATTAATCGATAAATATCAGAGATAGACAATTTTCGTGGCAATAATAATCGATTATTATCAGCAGCTAACAATCATTATTAATTATTTTCAAAAGTTATCGATAATTATAAAAAGTTATCGATAATTATCAAACGTTATCGATCATTATCGAAAATTAGCCTTACGATTTATCGATAATTGTCGATAATTATCGATAGTTATCAATTAATGATTAATCGATAATTATCAGACTGAACAGACTTATCGATAAATCGATAACAATTTCATTTATCGCTCAGCTCTAGTAGGTATACGAATTCACGTAAACTGAGACCGATTTATTTGTGCACAATGCTGCATGGTTATAAAAAAAGCTGATTCGCGAAATTTAGTTATCAAATGTGAATGTGGAAATGATGTAGCTGCCTGCTTGTAACGGACAATATTTTGCCTTAAAATTTTTTTTGATCGTTTTTTAATAACAATTAATCTCCCGCTTTCAGTAAAAATGTGGAACCTGCCTATTTTACTGCCTGTGAATAGAATGTATGAAATTGCATTCCTTCAAGGACAAGGACTGCAAGCTTTGTTCGTCTAAATGTATTATTATTTACATTACAAATTTACGCAATGCTTCTTAAGGGATCTATTTTTAGAACATTCCAATCCTATTTATAAAACCATTCCAATGATAACACAAAAAAACATCCGGAGTTCCTGACATCTGACGATTAAAAAGGAAAATATTCGAATGGTCAAAATAAATGGTTTGTAATGCTGCCATCTAATGTCAATGTAACGCTCCACTTTCGATCGCTCACGGACTTTCAAACGATCGAACTGCTCCTAGCGGCGGCCAGTTGGCACATGGTCACAAACTGTTATATGGGATCCGCGCTTCTGATAGTTATAAATTCAATGACTATACTCTCCAATTTTTCAGATATCGAGATGTGGTAAATTACATTTGATTTCGTAGCTATTTTGTGAATCTTTGTATCCATCAAATGCTTTTATGCCTTTACTCGGTTCGGGGGGACAAGGAAAATGCTGTTATTCGCATCAAAGCGTCGATACTAATACCGGTATAATACCACAGATATACGTCAAGAATATCTGTGCTAATACAATTGTTTTTTATTCTGCAAAAATTTACCATTTAAGAAGCATTGATACAATTGGAGGGAGAGGGGTTATATTATTGCCCAAAACACCGCTATAGGTACCTAACCACAAAACTGCAAAAAGTGATATATAAAAATTTATTTTGTATAATGAATATCAGACTCTGTATGGAGGAGTATTAATTACAACATTTTACACAGGTAGGTATCTTATATATACAATAAAGTACCACACAGGGTGTTTATGGTGTTTACACTGCGAGATCGAGTTCTAGTGTACAGGTGTATAGGTAACTATCGAGAACTCGTGATGTGCAAACCTTGTATATAGTAAGTTTAAATCAGAGGACGTTCGAAATTTTGCAATTACATATATCAAAACACTAATCAGACTTCACTTAAACCACAGACAACATAAATGTATATCCGTTGAATGAAAAATTATTTCGTTATTCAATGGTATAACATAGTAGGTATATTATGTTGTCTTCTATATGCTTAAACCAATATTGAAATATATAAATTTGGAAATAAATAAATACATTAGATGATTACTCCGATTTAAGTTAATTCTAAGTAGGGGTGTCGGTGTAACTATACATATCTACAAGTTTCTTAATAAATACACATTAAAAAAATACATAATTAATTTTTTAAATTAGACAAGAGAGAGAATTGATTAAGTACAAATTCTATAGTAATTTTATTATACCATGGGCTAATTTCGTGTTTTAAAAGGAATTTTAGAAGCATCTTTAAAGTTAAATTAATGGCATCTGTACAATTTATACCTAATAAAGTTTACAAGTATTTCTACTTTCCTACTATGTGATCATATGCAAAATTATTCGTGTACAAATTATTGGCAGCTCCACTATAATCAGCCCATTTGCTGAAGTCAATGCTTGGAATGATCCCGCTTCGACAAGGCACACGTGGATTTCTACAAAAGCAACGTATTTCGAAGTTTAGGCTGATTAAAGAGTGAAGAAACTTACATTTCGTGATCCGGTAAAACCATGGGATATAACTGGATTGTGTCAATTAAGTCTGTATTATCACAAATTAGCCTTGCTAAGCGTGTCTTTCTAATTTCTTGTAATTGTTCTGGTGTAAACGACGAGGGTTGATGTGGCAATTCGTACCTACACATGAAATATTACTCAAAGATGCCACCATTTGGTAATAATACCCACCAGAATCGATCTCCCCGTCTCGCATAACTAAACTGCGTGGCAATAACGCAGGCAAATGTCGGCCCCAACATACTACCTGGAAGAGGACGTTCTGACACGCCCCCTGACCAAAGATCTACATCATTCGGATGCCTAAAGATCACGTTTAGATGGCGAGTTCAGATCTCGAAAATCTTACTCAAATATTGTGCTGTATTTATGGACAGTTTCGTTAGGCATAGTGCCAAGTAATCCCTCAAAGTTGTGTGTATCAGCCAATCCACAGAATTTTCTAAATTCCATGTATCCGGGTATACCAAATTCTCTTCCACGTTGCATATTGAAGCTTACCAAGTCCATGCCAAATCGCGCGCCTACTTTCTTGAAGAGATGATTAGTAACCTCTTGAGTAATCGAGTCATCCATAGCTTGAGCCACTTGATTCATTAAACCCATAAAGTATTCGTCTAATACTCCAGCCCGATAAAGATCGTGAGGTCTTCTAATTAAGTCCGATAACCTCTTTGAAGCTGAAATGATTTTTAAGTATACCTATACATTTTATGTGGAGTTGATGCTCAAACGTACCTATGAATTTATGAGCTTTACTCCAACGTTCAACGGCAGTTGGTAGAAGCGAATGGCCAAAACGGAAAGCAGCAGAAGCAAATGCGTCGATAACATTTGGGTTGACAGTGCTATCGTAACCATCCCAGTAACCTTCTTTTTGTAATAAAAGCCCGAATTTTTGCATCACATCTTTTCCCAATAGTATTGGCAGAAACTCGTTGTATGTTACATGCTGAATTTCAGCAATGTTAATGCGACGCGCTTCCTGTTTTCAGTAATAATTAGGCATACATTTTTATTACAAACCATCATTATTACCTGGAAAAGAGTTTCATCGTCCCAATGAGGATTAACTTCTGCCAATGCGTTAGCGATCCTGTTATGCTCGCGTGCCATTAGTGTGTGCATGCATGTCAATACAAGTTGTTCGTTGACACGTATTTCGCCAGCTTCAAAGCAAAACATTGATTTGTTTGGACGAGTACATCCTTCATCCGGAACATCTAATTTCAGTGGCAACAAATCCTTAAGCCCATACTGAGAAAACACTGGATTCATTCTTAATTGACCTCCGTATCCTGAGCGCAATTTTCTAATAATGCTAATTATTAATGGGGCAATTAACATATAATAACGCACCTTGCAAACTTTTCCGTGACACCGTACACAGTATTACCGTCGAGCACTCCAGTTAAGGTGTTAAAAGGCACTCTGGAACCTATTAGGCGCATTTTTATTTTGTAAATGCATTAGATCATTTTTAAGTACCTAATCTACATCCTGGTCTTGGTGCAGGAAAAGCGCGTACAAAATCGAGACACTTGACATTGAATAGACGATAGAAATAGTCATCATCTGGAATTGGAATTTCATTACAGTATGGATGCTTCAGGTGTTGTGGCCGATGGCAGCATTCTTCTGGATCGTTCCTGTTTAAGGGATCTGTAAAATGGAATTTAAGATTTTATTTGATAGCAGAGTTAAATTGACATTTTAATAGGTTTGAATAGTCGCTCTTTAACCGCAACGCAAGGATAGATAAAGTAAAACAGATGATGATGATGATGATGATGACGAGATTCTAATTTCATTTATCATTCATATTTCAAATGGGCCGCGAAGCACGATATAAAATGACGTACAGAACATATGACAAATTGACAATGCTGTTTCTACGGAATACGTTGCGTGGTACCTAAGCTGGAATGTATTTGAAGGAAAAGTGCCTAGCCTTGACTTGGCATTAATTATACTTATACCTACGTTTTTTGTGTGCGCTTTTGATAGGGAGGGGTGGGAGGGGGGTAGATAATAATTAGCCTTACATCCTATAGTATAGAGTATAAATTGCAGCTAGAAATTTCGTAGGTAAGACACCGCAGCGAAAAAGTGGACGCGTTTATTTCATAAGAGTGCGCATGGAACGGAGTCCATAAACGCATTTTATTTGATTATATTTTTTTTATTTTTGGTTGTGTTACGTTAGCGCGAGTCAGGGCGCGAGTTAATGTTTTGGTGGTCAAAATCCAAATACAAGGGATAATTTAAGAATTAGAAATTGTTACGATAAATACGAAGAATAGTGGAAGTTTTCACCGTACAAAATAAAAATTGTGTGACGCTAAATAAGGTTGAATTGTAAAATAGAGGATGTTTTTGCAAATACGAACAACAGCGTTAAATTAGAAGGACGAAATTAAATCTTTAATCATTCAAAGTGAATGGACTTAAAAAATTTCTTGTTGTACTAACAACTCGCAATTTCGTTACAACTGCGTTGGTAGGAATTTTGATATTGTTAAAGATACATTCAGAAAGTATCAAGACAGTTTAATATTTTTAGTTGTGTTGTTTTTTTAATATAAACTAATCACATTAATTTTGTATTTAAAGAGTGTCAAACGTTTTTACAATAGTTAAATATTTCCAAAAAGAGCATATCCAAAAAAGTAAAAGGTCAGCCGGTGGCATAATACCTTCATGCCATGGTTTTCTGAGAAAAGCATTTTGGAGGAGACACATTTCGAGATTTTTGGAGACGCAGCCCCAAGCGATAAACAATTTGGACTTTTGGTGTATCTGGAAACAGTTTATCAAAGGAAAGTTGTTCCAATTTAAGCATTGTAAGTACCTATTAGTGCAGCGGAGAGCCGGCGCTAACTCGCTTATTTGAGGTAGTTTTTTTTTTCAGAGTAGAAAGAATTGGGACCCACACCATTTTGTTCAGAAATGTTTGAACCTTCAGAATCTCGCTTTACGACATTTTCCCGTGGTCCTGACAAAAGTTATAGGCCGCTAAAGTTGAAATTTACTCATTTTCGCGCGCGCGACTAGACCACCGAAAGTATTTATTTATAGCAGAATCTAAAGCATTCATATTTACCTACCTTGTTATGCACAGTTTTTAGAAAAATGACCGTCAACTTCCAAAATTCGTGTAGCAGATGAAAAGTGCGCACTTTGAACTCTCATAACTTTTTATTTCACGACATCGATTTCCAATATTTATATCTCATTCGATGCTCCAAAGCATTGTGATTATTTTATTTTCTATAACATTACCGTGAATTTTTCATAATAAAAAAGTTACGGTCATTTAAGTAAAAACCTACCGACCTCGCCGAGTCGAGAGTCGCGAGTGTGACGTAGAGGGAAGAATAGGCAGCAGCGTTCGCGCAACAAGGAGCGATGCGTTATGAGAGTTCAAAGTGCGGACTTTTCATCTGCTACAGGAATTTTGGAAGTTGACGGTCATTTTTCTAAAAACTGTGCATAACAAGGTAGGTAGGTACATTGAATGCTTTAGATTCTGCTATAAATGTACTTTCATTTTACAAAAGGAATTATTGATGTATATCGCTTAGTTGCTGAGAAAATAAATACTTTCGGTGGTCTAGTCGCGCGCCCGAAAATGAGTAAAGTTCAACTTTAGCGGCCTATAACTTTTGTCAGGACCACGGGAAAATGTCGTAAAGCGAGATTCTGAAGGTTCAAACATTTCTAAACAAAATGGTGTGGGTCTAAATTCTTTCTACTCCGAAAAAATTTTTTGAACGATTTCGCGGGTCTCTCCCCTGCACTATATTCTTTTACCTGTGGATAAACTCCTAGAGAAAGCAAATTTAATTATTTACTATTTGTAACCGCTCTTCCTTCTGGTGTTTTTCACATTTACATTATTCATTTATGGGATATTTTCAATTCAGTGAATGCGACCCCTTTTAGTCCCATCACTAGCGACGTCTCTGTCAATTTCATTAGCATAAATATATTCTAGTTACACAAATATGGAATTATATTAATCACAACCGTAAGAATAAATGTATCTTACATATTAATAATTATCATAAATATAATAAATTGTGGAATCATACCACCCTTTCCTGTACATTATTGTAGCCTGCCCAACACAGCCTCTGTAGCTCAGTGGCAGAGCACTGGTCTTGTAAACCAGGGGTCGTGAGTTCAATCCTCACCGGAGGCATGAGATTTTTTTAAATAAGTAATATTGTTTATTGAATGTTTTCAGTATGTGCCAAAGTTATATTTTAATTCAAACTTAGTTGTTTATGCCGAAAAAAGCTGGAAAATTGAATTATATTCAGTTGACGAATAAGGAATTGTGACTGCGCGCAGTGATCGATTTCAAGGTGGTCAAAATTATATGACCCGGTATTTGGGACAGTTTCTTGTAGTTATAGAATTCCCGATCGTTAAAACACTTGTGGAACCTAATAGCGTTGAGTGAAAAATTTCGTTATCCAATGCTAAAGTAACTCCACATCGGCCGGAGTAAGTGAGTAAGTGTGCATTGAAGACACAGGTTACTAAAGAATTGAAATAGGTTTTGTAACAGGTGGAATGGACGCCCATAAAAATGCACGGAAAGCAAATATCGAGTACCTACTAGAGCATGCGTGGGCAACCTTTTTTTCCAAGGGGCCAAAATAAAATTTTTCATATGCGCCACGGGCCACACTTGAAAATCGAAATAAAAAGTACGTTTAAAGAAATCAACATTTCTTTTTAGTCTTGATCTATTTTTTGCTTTCGTAAAAATCATTAAAAAAAACAATATAATTACTCCTGAATATTGACACGATTTTGCATACAAAATTTACCAAACGTGGATAATAAATCCCCATATTGAGCTTAATCCCAAAAACGTGTCGTCGTATTACCCCACCCAGTATATATTGCGAGGAAAATTCTGGAAAATACCTGGCGATATCTCTGAAACAAGAATTCAAACGTCTTGGAATCATATTAATTAATTAATTAAAATTTTAAATGTAACTTGTGGGCCCTATGAAGTATTAACTATGAATTATGTTAGCGGGCCGGACAAAACTTATCGGCGGGCCGCGAGTTGCCCACGCCACGCCTATAGTAGAGTAACTATTTCCGCTGTAAATACTTTGCCCATAGCGAAATACATTTTACAAACAAATTAATGGCAGTTGTCATAAACTGATATTGATTTCGACTTGAATAACGTTTGAATCTGCTTTTTGTCTTCCTAGTGATTATGGTAATTGGATTTATTGCCAAATTATAAAATAATGAGAGATACACCTCTGAAAATGAACTAATTCGTATATTATGAGAAAAAATTATCAAAGTCCTCGTTTGAGATCGAAGGGACTTCAGCGCATTTTTGTGTGGCAGATCAGTATTCTATTAGCCACTTTCGATTCAACCGTCAATAACAGATCTTGTCGAAGGCTACTACATTCACTAACCGCTTCCCACTTTCCTCGTGCACCCGCAATTCGCTTTTAAAGATTTGACTCCACCATCAGGAAGATCGTGTCGGGGCTACCACATTCCCTTTGACGGTACCCACTTCCGACGTTCGGTTCACCCGCAATTCGCGTTTGAAGATTTGACTCCACCATCAGGAAGATCGTGTCGGGGGCTAACACATTCCCTTTGACGGTACCTCCTTCCGACGTCCCGTTCACCCGCAATTCGCGTTTGAAGATTTGACTCCACCATCAGTGAGATCGTGTCGCGGGCTACCACATTCCCTTTTACGGTACCCACTTCCGACGTCCCGTTCACCCGCCATTCGCGTTTGAAGATTTGACTCCACCATCAGGAAGATCGTGTCGGGGGCTACCACATTCCCTTTGACGGTACCTCCTTCCGACGGCCCGTTCACCCGCAATTCGCGTTTGAAGATTTGACTCCACCATCAGGAAGATCGTGTCGGGGGCTACCACATTCCCTTTGACGGTACCCACTTCCGACGTCCGGTTCACCCGCAATTCGCGTTTGAAGATTTGACTCCACCATCAGGAAGATCGTGTCGGGGGCTACCACATTTCCTTTGACGGTACCCCCTTCCGACGGCCCGTTCACCCGCAATTCGCGATTGAAGATTTGACTCCACCATCAGTGAGATCGTGTCGCGGGCTACCACATTCCCTTTTACGGTACCCCCTTCCGACGTCCCGTTCACCCGCAATTCGCGTTTGAAGATTTGACTCCACCATCAGGAAGATCGTGTCGGGGGCTACCACATTCCCTTTGACGGTACCCTCTTCCGACGTCCCGTTCACCCGCAATTCGCGATTGAAGATTTGACTCCACCATCAGTGAAAATCGTGTCGGGGGCTACTACATTTCCTTTGACGGTACCCCCTTCCGACGTCCCGTTCACCCGCAATTCGCGTTTGAAGATTTGACTCCACCATCAGGAAGATCGTGTCGGGGGCTACCAAATTTCCTTTGACGGTACCTCCTCCGACGTTCCCGTCACAGCAATTCCGCGTTTGAGATTTGACTCCACCATCAGGAAAATCGCTGTCGGGGGCTACCAACATTTCCTTTGACGGTACCCCTTCCGACCGTCCCGCTTCACCCGCAATTTCGCGTTTAAGATTTGACTCCCACATCAGGAAGATCGTGTCGGGGGCTACCACATTTCCCTTGACGGTACCCCCTTCCGACGTCCCGTTCACCCGCAATTCGCGATTGAAGATTTGACTCCACCATCAGTGAGATCGTGTCGCGGGCTACCACATTCCCTTTTACGGTATCCACTTCCGACGTCCCGTTCACCCGCAATTCGCGTTTGAAGATTTGACTCCACCATCAGGAAGATCGTGTCGGGGGCTACCACATTCCCTTTGACAGTACCTCCTTCCGACGTCCCGTTCACCAGCAATTCGCGTTTGAAGATTTGACTCCACCATCAGTGAGATCGTGTCGCGGGCTACCACATTCCCTTTTACGGTACCCACCTCCGACGTCCCGTTCACCCGCAATTCGCGTTTGAAGATTTGACTCCACCATCAGGAAGATCGTGTCGGGGGCTACCACATTTCCTTTGACGGTACCCCCTTCCGACGTCCCGTTCACCGGCAATTCGCGTTTGAAGATTTGACTCCACCATCAGGAAGATCGTGTCGGGGGCTACCACATTCCCGTTGACGGTACCCCCTTCCGACGTCCCGTTCACCCGCAATTCGCGATTGAAGATTTGACTCCACCATCAGTGAGATCGTGTCGCGGGCTACCACATTCCCTTTACGGTACCCCCTTCCGACGTCCCGTTCACCCGCAATTCGCGTTTGAAGATTTGACTCCACCATCAGAGAGATCGTGTCGCGGGCTACCACATTCCCTTTTACGGTACCCACTTCCGACGTCCCGTTCACCCGCAATTCGCGTTTGAAGATTTGACTCCACCATCAGGAAGATCGTGTCGGGGGCTACCACATTCCCTTTGACGGTACCCCTTTCCGACGTCCCGTTTACCCGCAATTCGTGTTTGAAGATTTGACTCCGCCATCAGGAAGATCGTGTCGGGGGCTACCACATTCTCTTTTACGGTACCCACTTCCGACGTCCCGTTCACTCGCAATTCACTTCTATTGGCGACACGAGAAAGAGAGACAGCGATTCGAGATTCACGAAACGTTAAACCGCGTGAGTTCGCAACGGAAGGTAAAAGGCGCCTGACTACTTCTCGAAGACGCGCGCGCCGCCTCGCAAAAGGTCGTTAATTTCGCCCCTATGACAAAAAACAAAATTCCGCCACGCAGGAGTTGTGCGCGTTTACAACATCTTTCCGACGACACCAATTTCAAAAGAATCGGACCAAAACTGTAGTAGAAGATAGGAAAAAACTGAAAAACCTTCCCGTTAGTATACTACGCTCGAGGATGACGCCCAGATGTCGCCAACCCCACATCATGTAGCCATGTCCCTAAGGTTGACAAATTTCACGGCCCTGTAGATACACGTACACCCGTTGCCTTTCTACAAGAGTTCTTCTACGCGCCCACATTTGCTGCCAGCCAGCCAGCCAGCCAGCCAGCCAGCCAGCCAGCCAGCCAGCCAGCCAAAGTGAGATTAAAAGCTACTTTTTACAAAAAAATTTTTGCAAAAATGCGCTAAAAAAACACTTGCCTGACCTTCAATTAACTGTTTCAATTTTTAACAATCGTTTTTTTCTGAATTAAGATAACATCGAGGGGTAAACCGCAACCCAAATTTTGTACACTGATTTCCTATAAATATTAGATTTCCTCTGAGTTCCTTCGAGTTCTTCAGAGTTCATTTGATTTCTTCGGAGTTTCCCTGATTTCCTCCGAGTTCCTCCAACTTCCACGAAATACCTCTGATTTCCTTGGAGTTCCCTCGATTTTCTTTTGGAGTTCCTGTGAGTTCCTCTGATTTTTTAAAGTTTTTTAATTATTTCATTGTTATTCCGTTGATTTAACAATTTCCTGGTAAGTAAAACCCGAGGTAAACCATAAAAAAAATATAAAAGTGTCAAGTGTCAAATTAAAAAGTAATCGTAAACGATTTACATAAAGCGCATTTCCACTTGCATTCATTTCCCATTTGTAAGATGCAACTTCTGTTAAAATCGTAAAAATCCGGCCACAAATATGAAAGATAGCGTTGCACATGGGCAATCCATTGTTGACGTGCTACTTCAATTTCAGTTTATGAGAAGAATTTCATTTCAATGCTTTTCTAAATAAGAAAGTTGGAACTGCGCATGCGCAAACCTAAATTTTAAAACTAATGTTAGATTTTCCTTTGTTCCAAGCGCCTAAGTATCAAATTTCACTTAAATAGTTCCATAGATAAAAAAGTTGGCACTGCGCATGCGCAAAATAAAATTTTGAAACTGGCGCTAGATTTTCCTTTATTCCAAGTGCCTATGTATCACATTTCGTTTAAATTCTTCCATAAATAAAAAAGTTGGCACTGCGCATGCGCAAAACCAAATTTTGAAATTGGCGTTTGATTTTCCTTTATCCCAAGTGCCTATGTATCAAATTTCGTTTAAATTCTTCCATAAATAAAAAAGTTGGCACTGCGCATGCGCAAAACCAAATTTTGAAATTGGCGTTTGATTTTCCTTTATTCCAAGTGCCTATGTATCAAATTTCATTCAAATACTTTTATAAGTAAAAAAGTTTGCAATTCGGTTTATAAATGGTCGAGATGCGAAAAGGGCACTGTGAATTTTGAATCGATTCGATTCAACTTTTGGCATTGCGTATTATATGGCTAAATCTATGCCCATATTGAATTTCATGCAATTCAGTTCATAACTAACGGAGATGTAAAAGCGATCGAACATTTCTAAACAAAGTTATCGTTCACACGGACAGATAGATGGACAGACAGACAAAGGAACAGACGGAGAGACCAACCGGCAGGCGACAGATAGCAATGCAAAATTATAAACGATCTCTAGGATCGTTAATAAACGGCAAAAGTGTAAAATTATGGAACATGTAAAAAACGGTTTTTTGTTTTTTTTACAATAACTTTTTTTGTAAGCGGTACAGAAAAAATTCCTTCCTTGGTACAAGACTCGACACCATAACGAACCAAATAGCGAAAAAAGTAGAACAATAGCTCTTAAGATAAAGAACTAGTAGCGTCGCAAAGTTAGCGGACGGACGGACGGACGGACGGATAAAGACACGACCTTAGACGAAACACTATTTTATATTTTAATAGACCTATTTGCAATGAGAAAAACTCATTATTAAATGAGAAAAATACCATAAACAAATAAAAAAATTAGTTAAGACCAAATTAAATAATAAAATGCAGCACGAGTTCCTTTGATTTCTTTAGAGTTCCCTTGATTTCCTCGGAGTTCCTGTGATTTCCTTGGAATTCCTCCTGAATACACATGGAATTCCTTGGAATTCTTAGCTTTCCTAGGAGTTCCTCCGGAATTCCTATGATTTCCCATAGATTTCCTCAAACGTGTACACTGATTTCCCATCGCGGTTTACCCCTCGGATAACATCTAACAGTCCACGTAAAAATGTTGCTTCAATTTCAATTAAGTAATTAGTTAGATGTTAGACAGTTGATGGTAACACAACGTTTTAAAATCGAGCAATAATCACGCGCGCCAATATTAAATAATTTAAGTAAAATAACGTGTCGAGGTGGTTTAAGGTACCTCTATATAACAACATTAAGGCTGGACAGTACATACAGAATTGAGTGTGTAAAGTTGCCTATTGTCAATCGCTAAATTTGGCCATTTATAATATTAATTTGTGATTTATGGCAGAAACATAAACTTAGACCAATAATGCACATTTTCTATCTGTATAAACCAAGCGGCGCGCCGGAATCTATCTTTTCGCGCTTTTAAGGAAAACTTTTAAGTTGTTTTTCCAAGATCACTTATCTATAAATGAAGTTGGAACAATTTCCAAAGTTCGTAAACTTAATATCTAGGCAATAACGCCAGGAAAATTTATTTCCTTTTTTCTTTTCCAAAATGTGACAACCTAACAGCCCTCGACGTTACCTTAAAAAAAAAGATTATTTTAAAACATTTTAGTAAACCCCGGCGTTATTGTCAGCTGAAGCATTCACCTTTCACAGGAATATTCGACCCCTTCTTCATCTTCACCTAGAATTCAGATATCGTGGAACGAAATCAAGCAACGGAACACGTCTACTGTCCAGCCTTAAGATCAATCGTATTACGATAGTTCAACCATAGATCAGTTAACTGAGATTTCATACAGAAAACCGCGAAGGCATGTGCCTATCTTCAATCGCTTATGAATAATAAGCATTTAATTCAGTGAGTGTGTTATTTTCACGTCTGTAAAGCCATTGAAAGCTTATAATTCTTAAACGATTCAAGATGTATGCTATCGCGGAGTCTTTAACAATTTATTTTGGGGTTGGCCTACGTTTTGAAAGAAATGCGCGCATACATGATTTTAGTAAGAAAGCACCATAAGACTGTACTAATGCAAGTGCGATACACTGAGCCGCAATTTTACATCTCTCACTGTATTCACTTTCACCTAAGCGTCTCCACTTTAGCGCATTGTGTCAAAAACAAGCAAGGGAACTGTGCTTTTATTTCTTAGCTATGGGATATTCTATAATTATATGTCTGTAAATATTGATTCTACCGGAAAATGGTTGAAATAAAAGTTGTCCCGAATTTGTGCGTCAGAAACATGTTCATTTGTTATTTTTATGCAAAAATAATTTTGATTATCTAAAGCTTACTGAATAAAGGGTCTAGAATTTCGCAAAAACTTTTAATATAAGTCTCATATCTTTAAATTATTCAATGAAATGAATGTAACAAACTAAATACTTTGTGTACAAAATTCCTACCTTCAGATGGTACACCCATAAACGCTGGTGAGTGGTGATCTTGATGAAATTTGGAAATAATCTGGGAGTTTTTGGAAAGTAAAAAGAAATTCCAACTCATTCTTTAGATATCAAACATTGATGTCTCTGCAATATCTGTGAATATTAGAGTAGGTACCTAGTGATTCGTTATTTTTATGTTCAAACGTCCTCAAATACCCAGTTTAAAAAATATATATATTACGGAACATTGGTATTGTTTTTTGCTGAGAAAATAATGTTTTGGAACTTTTTTATACTGAATCAGTATTTATGATTATTTTATTCTGTTTCAGGGTCCCTTCATATAGTGGTTGCTGTAGGGCCTTTCACTGTTTCTAGTAATTTATCCTACGCACCATTACAAGAATTAGTAAAGTATGTCACGAATCACATTCCTCACGTTTTGATTTTGATTGGACCATTCGTGGATGCTTCGCAAGAAAATGTAGCGGACATAACAATGATGGAGTTATACGATACATTCTTTGAAGCATTAATACAAAATGTTATGTCACCATTAGAAGGGTAAAAAAAATGTTATATTATAGCTTCGTAATCAACTTTTTTGTTTATATCAGGTTAAACATTAAGGTTGTGTTAGTGCCTTCGGCGAAAGATGCCCATCATCATGTGGTTTTCCCGACGCCGCCTTACAAACTTCGCAAGACATACCCCAACCTTCAGTGTGTAGGTGATCCTAGTATACTGAATATAGAAGGCTTAACTTTGGGAGCGACGTCTACCGATATACTACTTCATCTGAGCAAGCAGGAGTGTTCATATGGAACGCAGGGAGGTGATCGTATCAGTCGCTTAGCTTCACATCTTTTATGCCAACAAAGTTTTTATCCTTTGTATCCTCCAAATGAAGACGTTTTTATTGATTATGAGTTACTGGAACAACACGCTGGAATCAATTTTATTCCCAATATACTGATTGTGCCATCAAGCCTTCGCTATTTCATTAAAGTAAGTATCACGTTTTAGTAAAATACATTAACATGTTTTATTCTTAGTACATCAATGGATGTGTGGTGATCAATCCCGAAAGAATCACAAAAGGTTATGTTGGAGGGACGTTTTGCAGAATGGAAGTAGCCCCACAAGTGTCATCTGGTAGTCTATCGGATAGTGTTGTTGCTCAAATTATACGCATTTAGTGATTATGATTTTTATTTATTGTTTTTGTCAACTTGACACCTTTCAATTTTTTAACGTTATAAATATGTGGAAAAAGTTATATTTTTTTCTTTATTTAGTTATCATGGCCCAGGACAGTAATTCTTCACTTTTATCCTTTCAAAGAAATGAGAGAGAAGAGACTAAAAATTGTCCAGTGCCAGATAAGTCATCTCTCAAAATATCTTCTTCTTTATTGGGTAAATTAATGCTTTTGTCTGCGTTGATGTGTTTGATCATTTTAGGTAAGCAACAATAGGTACATTGTGATTTTATATGTTGCAGAAGAGGCAAAGAAAAGACATTAACATTTAGTAAACGTCTGTAGTTTTAATTTTGATCGTAACAATTCTGAAATTTGAACTGCACAGGCTCAAACATGGAGACTGATAAATTTGTTTCATTTTATCCACCTTATGAGTCACTGATAAAATACGCGTAACTCTTGAGGAATGACGCCAAAAGTGTTTTTTTAATCGCAATGTCGGCACGCCGAAGTGCGCCTATCCTATTTACTGTGCGTGCCTGTCTGGAACGCTTGAGATAGATTTCAAAAACCCAAAAACTCTTAAACTATTAGTGTAATTCATGATTTTTCAAGAGCTTTTATTTAGATTTCTCAAATCGAAAGAGTAGTACATGTATTATAAGCGTAGGTACTCTAGTAAGAAAATCAGAGAAAGTTGAGAACTGTAATGAGATGAATTTAATTTTGCCATTCTCAAAGGCTTTTGGGCTGCCTTGGCAGTAACACACTTGCATACTTTCAGGTATCATTAAAGGAATATTAGGATTATGTTGTTGTGCTCCGGTAGGTATGTGGAGTTTAGGGGCATTAATAGATTTGCCACGCCCAATTGACAGTTACCAAGAAGGTGAACTGGCTCATATTCCTGTCGTGTATGATCAGACCGGTTGGCCAGTGCATCCAGAAACTGGACAACGTACTGTTCGAGCATTACCTAAGTGTGTATATTATATGGGTACAATTACAAAATGAAGTAGCTCATTTTTATTATTTTCTCTAAAGGAAAACGGAGTTCTTCCTGAATACAGTCTTCTTCTTGGCGTATCCATTAGCAGTTCTAGTCTCCATTTGTAGCGCATGTTGCTTTAAGGAATCTGCTGAACATGAATCAGGATGTTACAAATGTGTGAATACAGTTGTTTTCAATACATGCGTGCCCAGTGCTAGTGGGGTAGGTTTACATACAAGGTATGTTGTATTTATTAGTTAACTACTACTTTGTAGAAAGAAAGTGGGGATGTATTGCCCATATATAGTGATGACGATGCCAGTCAGGAAATAAAAGATACTCACTATGTGGTAAACCAAATGCGCTATAGTCAACAATCATTGATCAACAAGAGCTCATGGTATAGTTAAAGTTTGAATTCTCGTAATTCTAACATCATGTGTAGACTATATACCACTGTAATAAAAAAAAAGAAAATATTTCTAAACATTGCTGTATTTATCATTATATGACGTATTCAAAATTTCATACAACTTCTGTCATCTGACAATGTGCTACAAGCACCTAAACACGTTGGGTAAGGTTGTTTAGTACTGTAGCACTATCGTTATATACATAAATCGAGTCTTTACTATTACTAAGCACCATATTCTTCATCACTTCAAAGTTTATGGTACGCGAGTTCTTATAGTTTAACGTAATACCCTTCACCTTACACACTGTTTTAATTGTCTGATCACTGGTTGAAAACACTCTATAGCTATAGTTTTTCGGTCCCGCACTAACAAATTCTGTTATATAATTTCCTTCGCCGTACGCCTCCAGCTCGTCAGTTATCTCGCCTAGGAAATCTCCACAAGGAGGATTTCACTCACCAGGTTTTGTCATAAATATTATGCTGTACGCGACGACCCAACCTCTCCAAATAACTATATAGCTCTAAACGTGCATGAGCTGTCGTGTACGCGGCTATGGGTTAACGTGTATAATGGATTGTACCTGAACCAAAGGATCTGTAAACAATTTGAAAAAGTCCTTTGGCTCACATACAATGCTGGATTTGGGTAAATTGTCTCGTTGGCCAAGTTTGCCCCAGAAAGAATTCAACATTAGTTGCCGAAATTGTATTACACTAATTTTTATTGAAATATTAGTTAGTTGGTCGCTATCGATTTCGGACGTTCTTCGTCCATCATCAGGCGATATGTCAGTATAATTAAAAAACGAACCATGAAAAATGTAATGAAGAATGTTGAAGTTGGACGTTATGTCTGTAGAATTGTGAAACATAATAATAATAATAATATTTATTGGTGGTGTTTATACAGAAAGTATTTCCACACGTCACAGTATAGGGAAGCACAATTGCCACTTTATTGTTCGGAGCCATCAAACTTGTAGTTCAAGTACTCATTGATGCTATAGAATGCTTTCGCACCAAGGAACACTCTGATTGTTTTTCTGAATTGTTGTTCTTCCAGATCCCTGATGTAGTCAGGAAGAGCATTGTAACATTTTTTCATGTAATAGTTAATGTCTCGTCCTTTTACCGGCCGATAGTAGTCTTCGACAAGGTTGTTTTTAGTCCGTACATTGTAATGACATTTATCACTGTTTTTAAGAAGGGTTGGAAGGGCCTTCTTTGCGTGTGTTAGACAGGTAAATATATACACACATGGGAGTGTAAGGATGTTAAGTTTGGTGAAGGATAAAAGGCATGTGTGGTGAGGTGAAGTGCCTTTTATGTTTCACAATTCAAGTGTTTGTGAATAAGGATCTTCAAACAAGAACTAGAAAATTTTTTATCTGTAAGTACCCAAGCTTTTTGATCTGCTCTGCTTGCTCGCCTGCTTGAAATGTACAATTTGCCAAAACCACACCTATGATCCAGAATCCAAGACCCTGATCTCACTCCTGAATCCAAAACTGCATCTTCAGTCCAAAATCCGAGCCCATGGAAAATCACAAAGCCACGGCTTCGGGGGAAAAACCCACGGTCAAAGTCAAAGGCCACGTCATTGGGGAAAACCCCGAAGTGAAAGTCCAAGGCCACACCATTGGGAAAACCCAAGACCATGACCTTGGGAAAAACCCAAGGCCATGCCCTTGGATGACGTCAGCGGGGGGGACAAGGTGTCCCAGGGTCAACAGTGGGGGGGAGGTGTCCCTGTTTTACTTGTAGCGAATATCCAAAAATGCCAATAGACATCGAGGCGCCATGAAAAATTAGTCATCGGCGATAAAGAACGAAGGCGGATGTGACGCAATCTTTCATGGAAGTACGGCGTGAAGCGAGAAGACTCGAGACCACTCGGATCACCACCAATGAACCTTGCATTTTTGCCTTGAAGTTTACAATGTATTTCTTATGGCAATAATTCCATGGCCGTATTGATGGTGACCATGTGATACAATAAACGAACGAATTTGGTTTCAATCACAATCAGCCATGGAATTACTGCCGTAAGAAATACATTGTAAACTTCAAGGCAAAAATGCAAAGTTGGTTCCCAGATGAAATACCAAGTGTTTAGTATCACTGGTTTTGTAATTTTTTTATCTATCGAGTGATCTAAAAATCCAATACGGCGTCCATTTAAAATACGAAAGGTGATGTCAATACTCGAAAACCGCCATTTTGAATTTTTTTCTATGTCCATTGAATTTATACCATCGAATCTTGCAACTTTTATTTTTTTCAACATATCACATCGGAATATCGATTAGCATTAAAAACTACACAACTTTGCCAATTTAACCGAATCTGTAAGTATAATAATAACAAAGATAGCTATATTATCCTACTCAATTTAAGACATCCTGTATAAGCAAAAAGAAAATCAGTAGTTCCAATTTCGACGCTGGAGCAATAAATAGTTCGTGCCGTAATAAATTTTGTACATGCAGTTTTAAGACTAAATGAAAACATTGCAATTGTAGAGCGTTCACGCGGGTCAGAGATATCTGTGTATTTCGCACATCGTCATGGAGGTACTACACTTTTTGTCAATTTGTGCACGCTGTCTTGTTAAGAAAAATAAAAGATTGGAACGTCTCAAACAATTTTTTTTTACTGTTTCTCTGTTTGCCGTTGCATCAATTTCTTTGAAATTTTCCTTTAAACGCTCATATGCGCCTGCCCCTTTTTATCCATGTCACTGTACTCCTTAGATTTGATACGCCAAACTGCCTATCTGCCTAACCTGTCTCCGACACACCAACTACACTATCAGACGTCCATTAAATTCAATTCAAAATTTTCCGCCAATGTATTAGAGCAAGATAGGAGAGCCCCCAGACCTAACTGATTTTCTGATGGACAAAACATGTACGAGTACAATAGAGTAGTATTAGTGCGTACAATAAACGTATACATACCTCCGAGCATACCTCCTAACTTTTTATGTTTTTCACATTTGTTAATATGCTAAACAACACATTCCCTTGGCAATACTCTACTGCCAACTGATAAAAAAAATACATAAAAGAGCAAGAAGCACCGCCGCTGCAGTGGCATAATGTGAATCCAGAAACCAAGCAGCAGTATGGGGCTTACCGGTTGCTATTCGAAGCCACCGGCAGCGGGTCCCCATGGTTCTCAGGGCTTTTCCACCAGCGGAGACGTTTAGCGGCCTAACACAGACCTTGGCGTAGGCACAATGCTGTCTATTACATTTTTAAACTTGAACCGTGATCAAAATGTATGTAGGTAGGTATAGCCGCTATGCTAGATTTACAGAACAAACTAAAAGTAATATGTTTATTTCGCCCTGCAAATAAATAAAAAATCATTGGAGCAAATTCCTTTATAAAACTGAAAATTTTACATGTTGTTCATCTAAACAAAATCAAGTAATTCATAATGTATTGAAACGTTACTAATTTTATAGAAAAGAGATTATAATTCGTTTAATAAACGATGACATTCACAATTTTATCATCTAACTGGAAGGAGATGTGAAATATCTCAAAATTCAAAATGTACATTAGCAGAGATATTCCACATAAAAATAAGTTAAGTAGATAAATACTGTTATAACACAGATCGTTTAAGAAGAGAGATATGGACTAAAATTAAGGAAAAAGTTTACTCTTGGGTTTCCTAATTTACCATTTTCTACCGCCACCTCCTCCAAACCTACCACCACCACCGCCGCCGCCGCCTCCGTATCCAAAATCGCGATTTCCACCACCAAAACCGCGATTGCCTCCAAAGTCTCGATTCCCACCAAAATCGCGATTTCCACCAAAATCACGATTTCCTCCAAAATCGCGATTTCCACCGAATCGACCCCCTCCTCGACCACCTCTCTCTTGATCTTTGCGCTCCTTCCATGCTGCAAACCTTTTGCTCATTTCGTGAAGTTCCTCTGGGACATGCTAAAAATAAAAGAAAATATTCATTCACTTTTTCATTCTTCTAGGCGCTTTATTGACATTTCCAAGATATAATGAATGTCAAGGCTGATCAAATTTCTACATGTAAATTTACAAAGGGCGCTTATCATGTATTTTTACCACCCGCACGTTGGTAAGGGAGGTATTGTATTGTGGTAGTTTTTTTATGGAAATACACCTTTTAAGGCACCAGGAATCCGATCACACAAAATGTTGATGATGTTGGTTGGTCTGTCTGTCTGTCTGTACTCTAATTTGTGACTAAACGGCTGAACCAATTGGAACCCAATTTCGTACACGTAGCAATAAAAGGGCAGAATCGCGCATGTAAAGTGGTGCGCGTGGTATCTGTGCTATTCACCGCAAATTTTTTTATATCTGGTATTAAACATTCAATTTTTGATATTAAATATTGGACACACTGTGAAACTGTGTTTCTAATTAAAATTAGACCATGGTAATCCTGAGAAAAAAGCTTAATATTTGTTAACCAACACAGTTATGATAACTACAAAAATTCCCAAGAACGCCTACTTTAGTTGTAACACATTGCATAGTACAGGGTGTCAAAAGAACGTTTTGTTTTTCCAAAGCACTCTTCTCAAAAAACTAAAAATTGTATTTTTAGGAAAAATGTGATACTGAACCACCATGTGTGATACATCGTTGTAAAGAGAAAAAAAGACGTAATCTCAAAATGTGTGCCCATAAGAAAAACTAAAGTTGCCACGTGTTTCTCCGTCATCTTGAAAGTTATTAAAAACAGGATGCCATATTTGAAATCTCCATTAAAAAGTGTCCGAATAATGCGTTAATTAGAAATGTCTATTACGATTAGATTAGTTTATCATAAAAAAATTAAAAACGAAAATCAGAAATTTTCGATATCTTCAAAACTATTGAAGATATTTCAAATTTCTTTTCAGATTCTTATTCAGCACGAAAATTGGCAACTTTCTATCTCTTAAGATAAGTGAGATCCCCATAGTGGCACGTGAAAAATAGACACTGTGTATAACAGACAGGTAAAAACAGTAAAAATGCCGTAAAAACGCTAACTAGTTACATAATCTACCACTAGTCACAAACTCGTTAAAAGAATAAAATGCACTACATAGAAAACATTTTTTTATGCGTCTCTTAAATATGGGGTAATCTAATACCCTTATATCAGGAAGGCAGTTATATAAATATTTGGATTGGTACTGTACTCCTTTTTGTGATTTTGACAATCTGCATAGATCAGTATATTGTTTTAAATTGTGTATGACAGCCCACGTCGTGTTATTTTCAATAGAATATTTTGGTTTTTATTAGTAATTTTTTAATCTGTGGTAACTTTTGTATAAGCCATTGCCATAAGCTGGGGGCACCCATTTTTTATATCAAGATCTCATACAATGAGGCCTAAACAAACCTCTGAAATGAAAGATTTGCATATAAAAACATTCATATTTACAAGTGATTGCAGTTACCTTCACAGACATAATACATATTATCAACTATTTAGAAAACTGATACAGGAAGGTGAAGGAGTAGATTTGTTGTTTTAAAAAAAATTCAAAAACCGTGCAGTATAAGCATATGTTGACATATTCCGATTAGTGAGGTTCTACTGTAATTCAAATTCACCACTATCTTTATCTTCTTAACCAACAGAATGTTAGCGATTTAATTCAATATTGTATTCTACATATCAAAATAACAAGATATCAACAATCAACGTTATTACACTCCTATACAATGAAATAAAAACCTATTAAGCTGAAGAGTACTTCAATTTGGCTTTCAACAGCATAATAATTTCATCCAACCTTACGAGCATTTCACGACTTTCCACCTGAAAGTAACTAATTAATTTTACCGCCATCTAAATATCAATGTCTCACCTTTTGCAGTTCCAAATTACTTAATTCATCGGCCAACATATTCTTGATTTTTACTTGCTGCTCCAACTTGCCTTCCAAGATACTAACTTGGCTCGGTTGCGTATTAAGAACGTCTCCAGAATTTATAATATCTTCACTTAATCGAACGAGCAGTTCCTCTTTTCGCTGATTTTCCCTTTGCATCGATTTCCACTTTTCTTCTTGCGTTTTAATTTCCTCTTCCAGAGTAGATATCTCCTCGTTGATTTGCTTTAACTGATTTGACGACATTTTCGTAACTTCTTCGAAGTTTTCCTTATACTGATTGTATTCGTTCAGGATCGGTTCCAAGTCCGCCATACAGACTTTGAGTTCCTCTCGAAGTTGGGCAGTTTCTGCTCTTACGCGATCCGATTCTTCGGAGATACTTTTAAATTCCTCCTTCAAATCGTTAGTGTCTGCCGATGTTTTTGCGAAGTGCGCTTCGTGATTGACGCTCTCCCCCTTTAGCAGTTCGTCAAATGAAGGATCGGTGGATTTTAAAATATCAACGGTTCGGTTTAGTATGCCGATTTCTGTAGTTAAAGCGCTTAGTTGACCTTTATATTCTTTGTAGAGAATGTTTTGTGCGCGAAGCTTTGAGACATACTTTTTTAAGTTATCCCCTTGAAGAAGAGGCCCTCCAATAAGTGTTTTTAATAAATCTTCCTTTTCAACAATTTCGTCTTGAATCGAATTCATTTTACTTTTTAATTCCATAACCGACTTTGAGACTTCTTGTTTCTTATTAGCGATGATCGTAGCTTGATTACGAAAAGCGACCAGTTGATTATCTGAACTGACATCTATTGTAGACATTTTATTTTCAATTAAGTTTTGAACTTCGTCATTCAGTTTCGCCAACTCTGCAGTTAAATCATTTATATTAGCTTCACTAGGTTCGGGGCCTCGTATCAGCGATTCGCACAAGTCCATTTCTTGCTTGACATGCTTTAACTCGTCCGCCAGCTGATCTGCGATTATATTGTTTGTATTTACTTCGTCTGCAATTAATTGCACCAATTCTACTTTGTTCCCGTGACGTGTTTGTTTATGAAGGAGGATTTCTTTCAATTCCTTTAATTCATTTTCCATCTGAACTTCGAGATTTTGTTGCTCCAAGATTTGTTGTTCTAATTTATTTTGTTCGTTGACCTCGTTGCGATACGAACGAACCATAGCGATTAGACCTTCCTTGTGAGGGATGTTTTCTATTTTTCGCATTTGCTGTTCAATCCGCTGATGCAATTTTAAAGAATCTTCTTCCATTTTCGATATGTCATGCTGCAATTCTTCCGCTTCCACTGCAAGCTTTTCTTCTTTTTTATTTTCATTGTAAACCTTCCAAAATTCTTCAATTAAACTTTCGTACTGTGCATATAATACGCCCACTTCCACATCATCCAATATCTCCGGAGGGCATTCGATTTTCTCAACATATTTCGAGAGGTAGGCTCTTTTTCGCACTTGTTCCGGTTTAGATAATAGCCAATGCACAATAATACGAATTATCGATTTATTTCCCAGCGAGATACCATTTAAAAACTCCTCGGGGTCCACATCATCGGGAGGTGAATATTTTATATTTTGTAAAGCGTCAAAAATTATGGATACTGCACTATTACTGTCGTATTCACCTTTTGGTATTACGTCCAAAACAACTAACACATCACACACAATACTCAAAAGCTCATCCTTAGATAAACTCTCAAATGATGATAAATTATATTCTCTATTTAGCAATTTATTTAATTCGGTAATTATAAATTTTGTTTCCTCGGCCATGATGGTAGTGTATTGATTTGGTTACCATGGATATTCACAATATAAACAACACCGGAAACAAAATAATTAAATCATTCCTAATAAAATTGGAAATAACAAAGGGATTTAGTTACTTTTTTTTACTTTTACTTTGCGATATAGACAATAACACAAAAACCATTACTGCGTATGCACAACACATATTTTCGGTAAAAATAATGAATACCAAAAAAAATTTATGGGTCATTTTGTAACAAACGTAAATATTGCAATAATCAGCTTATGATCGCTATTTAATTTTTAAATTCTCTGAAATGCAGCCCAGGAACATTACAGTAAATTTCTTGTAGAGTACCGGGTGACGCAATAAGACTGTCCCTCGGCCATATCTCGGGAACCATTCGTGGTATTACTTAGGGGGAAAAAAATTATTGGGTAAATCGGTTATGAAGAATCGTTGGAAAATATTTCCTTTTCTAAAAATGGCCACCAGAGCGCGTAACTGCTATCTTAAATTTTAAAACTGCATTTTCTTTAAATTTTGCATAATAAACTAAAACATGTTTAATGAGAACCAGTTTATCTATCATTTTCGTAAAAACAAAAACTCACTTATTTCAAAAACAAAGATGGTGTGGGGCGTTCAATTGTTTTTGCAATAACCTGCTGTAACTTCTTAACCGTTTGAC